CACCATGAAAATCAAATAGTCGCCAATTTTCACTATGATATTCGTAATCAGCGCATCAATATACGTAAGAATACTGAGTTTCAAAAAAATCGGAGCCGGGACCTTTTTGGAACTTTATCCGATAATAATGTAAGGTTATAAGAATATATATCGCGCGGACAAGATAAAAAATGTTAAGATTATATAGTATATATCGCGGAATAATGGAATGAAAAAATGAAAAGTGATAAGAGTATCGTGGAATAGTGCAACAAGGAAGAGAAGTGATAAAGTGAAAAGAAATTATCAACATGGAATAGTGCAAAGAAGAAAATTGATTTCTTTTAATCGACGTCATATTGAGCAAAGTTAGGTTACATTAATGAAACTGAGCGAATGCTTACACTGGAGTGAATCTGTGCATTATCAATTAATATATTTGTAATAAATACATTGTTGTTGGAAAATGATTACGAAAGAATCGAAAGAATATTTGGAGATTTTGGCTGACCATGTTTTCAATAACGATAAGCTGGTAATTATACACGCAAACGCGCATTCATGTATATAATGTTTATTTGTATTTTATATATAAATGTAATTAATGCATGATTAATATTTTTAGGTTAACTTACAAATGTCTAAGCAATGAGTTTATGCTAATGTAGCAAAATAAATCTTGTGAGAATTCTACCAAAAATATCATAAAAACAACAGCATTGAATATACATTTCTATTAATTGGCTTCATATAGAATAATGAAATAATAATATCATATCAAAGCAATTCTATGTCCACAAACATTTTGCAGATTTGGAATTACTCGCAACTTTTGATTCTGGAAATGTGAATGTTTATTTAAAGATCTTTACGATATCATAAACCTGTCGCGGATTACAAGAATTTCATATAAACAAAGATAGATAAGAGTAAATGGAAAATTGTTTGCAAATGTCAAAGTTCTTTTTTCTTTTGCGTATGATGCGAGAGACGGAAAGATTATATCAAATAAAATGTTATAAACAAATAAAAAAAGATCAAAAAAAAATTGAAAATGCAATTTTGCATGCGAAATTGTCACGCGGTATTTACAATAAACGAGTGAAGCGTTATTATATTTTTTCCGGTAGAAGATTTGCAGAAATAAAATTGC